CCGCCATCTGCAAACATGGGTACGGTTCATGAGTTAGTAATTTCATGTCTCAAGTTCGAGGATTTGCTACTTCGTCTAGTTTTTCAATGTCAAATTTTAAACACTCCGATGATGACTCATTGCTATTGCAGGTATCTCTCGTGATTCTATGCACAAGAGACGTGCGACCGGTGGCAAGAAGAAGGCCTGGAGAAAGAAGCGAAAGTAATTTACACATTCAGCCTCTATTTGCTTTTATAGTCGGTCGTTAATTACACTTTCCGATTGTTTGATCCGTTTCATAATTCCTTCTACCTGCTTGCAACGTGTGTTTGGTCCTCTTTCTTTGTTTAATTCTCTACTCTATTTTAATCGTTCTCATGGATAATATTCAGATAGTGTGATAGTGAACTCCATTTTTGGTAGCATTTAATTAATAGCTTCACCAGAGTATAGGCTTTTCTAAACATTAAATATCGCTGGTTTTCTCAAGCTTCTATTTGAAAAGCTGAAGTCTATGCTTTTAATTTAAAAGTGCTGTTGAGGATTTCATTCTAGCTCACAATAACCTCATAGCTTCTACTTGTAGACTCAATCACCTAATTAGGAGAAATTCGTTTTCAGTTATCTTCCTAGTAATTAAATTTTTTAACAAGACGATGGCACAGTGGAAGAGATAGTTAAGTAGGAGAAATTCGTAGATTATACCATCTGTGTCATCTTGTAAACAGAAGGATGACATATAGGATGTAAAGCATTACACCTAAAGTATCTTATCAGTTTCAAATTGAAGAGCATGGAGTTGTTGTCTTTTGTTGTTTAGCAATCCTAACACTTCGATTTTTTTTTTTTTAATTATTATGGAGGTATGAGCTCGGAAGACAGCCTGCCAACACGAAGATCTCGAGCAACAAGACTGTTAGAAGGGTGAGAGTTCGTGGTGGAAACGTGAAGTGGCGTGCTTTGAGGTTGGATACAGGGAACTACTCATGGGGTAGTGAGGCTGTGACCCGCAAGACCCGTATCTTGGATGTGGTTTACAATGCATCCAACAATGAGTTGGTCAGGACCCAAACTCTTGTCAAGAGTGCAATTGTTCAGGTTGATGCTGCACCTTTTAAACAATGGTATCTTCAACACTATGGTGTCGACATTGGTCGCAAGAAGAAACCAGCTCCTTCAGCCACCAAAAAAGAGGGAGAGGTAGGTTCCTGCTTACAGAGATGCATGCATCTATTATAGTTATATTTAATATTTAATTGTAATTAATTATAGGAAGTAGAAGGTGCAGCAGAGGAGGCTAAGAAAAGTAACCATGTGGTGAGGAAATTGGAAAAGCGTCAAGAGGAACGCAAACTTGACCCACATGTTGAAGAACAGTTCTCCAGTGGTCGTCTTCTTGCAGCTATCTCTTCACGCCCTGGCCAGTGTGGTCGTGCTGATGGGTATGTATATTGTTTATTGTTTTCTTCTCAAGTTCATATTACGAATATGTAATTAATAATGTAATCTAAAGTATTTGGTGGGGTAAATTAATTTGTTAGATACATATTGGAAGGGAAAGAGCTTGAATTCTACATGAAGAAGTTGCAGAAGAAGAAAGGAAAGGGTGCTGGCACTGCTTAAGTTGGTTTTTTATAGATTTGTATTTCTTATTTATTTTAAGGGAGGCATGACTGAGATTTTCGTTTTTCTATTGATGTTGAAAGACTAATGCCGGCTTCATGCTATTGGTTTTGTTAACAATTTTGCTTCTATTGTTGCCATGTTTCAGCATCTAGAAAATGCTTTTAAGATTTGTTTTTTTCTGACTTAACTTATTTGGCAATTAATCTAGAGTTGTTAACATACTTAGTAAGAGTAGTTGGGACTGCAAAAATATCTTTATTCACAACCTAACTTCGATTGAAAATTGCACAGAAGTATTTTAACTTAAGAAAAATGTTGAAAAGTTTATTTATCATAAAAAATTAGATTCATTTGTTATCAAGTAAAAACTTTTGGTTTGAAATGACTTCCGGAACATGTTGGTCAATGTTTTGATTGTTATCACACTTTTCAATTTTTTGTTTTGATTGTTAACAAATAATATCCCGTATCTATTGTGATATAGGGTGGGATTCATCAAGTGTTGTTTTGAATGAATGGTCTATTTGCCTTTTGAAAAATTAAGAACATGCATTTTATTGCACCGAAGTCTGCATTTTTCTAAACCAAGCAACTTTGTTTGGAACCAAGTTGGAAGTTAACCAATCAGCCCCTTATTGATGATGCTGCAAAATGCAAGATATAGTTTGAAAAATGCTGGTTGATTGTTGAATGATGAAAAATGACTAGTTTACCATTCTGTTTAAAAAAATAGTATATACCATAATACCAACTAATGCATTAACAAAAAACAAACGCCATAATAAACCAGCAAAACAAGAAAATGGTCATAATCAACAACCAAAGGTCTCAAAACACAATAGGAAATGGAACTCTACAGTTGTGGGATAAGTATCATAAGGCTATGGGTATCAATACGTGTGAAAGTCATTCCACATCATCCTTTATACATCTTCACAACTCATTTAAGAGAAATATAGAGAGAAAGAAGAGAGAGATAACAAGAGTGAGACAGAAGAGAAATATAGAGAGAAAGAAGAGAGAGATAACAAGAGTGAGACAGAAGAGAAAGAAGAGAGAGATAGAAACGGTTTTGATTGGGTGTGAGAACCCGTAGTTGGCTTCACTCCACACCACCATTATTCCTATTGGGGGCGGTGTTCACTAGTGAACATCTCTTCCACCTAGGCTCCACATAGGATTCTTATACGTGAAAAAAGAATCATACCCCATGGCCTAACAATCAAACTGGATTCAGTTCTTCCATCAAGAGTCATGTGTAGTATAATGTGTTGTACGACTTCCCTCACTCATGTCTCTCACATCTTTCCTTTTTAGATTATAATAATTAGAAAAACAAGTTATCTTCATCTCATTTTTTATTATAATTTGTAAGTTTGCATATCTATTTGGTTTATTAATGGGAAATGATTCGTACACAACAATTTTTTGTCATACACAACAATTTATGCATTATATAATTGTACAATACAACACTTTAAAACACAAATTGTTATGTACGGAGAAAAAGTGTTGTATATGAATCAGTTCCCTTAATTAATTTTAAGCGATATAACTTGATTTGTTACATGATGAGCTTTAAACTATATTATTATTCTTTATATGATTTAAAGGAGATATTTTACTCAAAATAAAGAAGATAATAATATTGTTAGAATATGTTGTCATTGAAAACTAATAATTCAGACATAGATAAAATTAAATACAATCATATGCTATAAAAAACTGCCTGTTAACATAATAGATTTTCAGTTAAGTTTAAGTAATATCAAAAGTCATATGTAGCTTCAAAATTAAAATTTATATAATACAGAAACATAACTTTTTTTCTTTAATATATTAATAAATTATAAATATATAAATATAGAAAACAATTAGAGCAAAATAAGATAATAAACAATAACGAAAAATATTTTAATTATCATAATTCCATAGTGTTGGTTTTATATTAAATAATACTAGGCTAGAGACAATTGCACAAGTTTAAAAACATAAGTGATTGACGTGTGCATTTAAATCGGTATAAGAGTTTATCATATTAAATTAGTTCTCTAGTTTAAAATTTTTATAATTAGAAGTCTCAATCAAAATAAATTCTTTATATGATTTTTTTTTGAAGTTCAGTTTCGGCCCTCTAGTTATAAAATGTGTGTTCCGCCCCTGATACAAAGCAATGGCCATCTACAAAAACCACTTTAGGTCGAATTGGCAAAAGCCAGTTACTCTAGAGGCACTATACCGATTTGTAACTGTGTCATAAAGGTTTGCATACTCGAAGCATATCACCAAAAGTGTTGGCTCCTGAATCCACCACAAGAAAGAGCTTTATAGAAATAGTGGATGTTATAGATAAACATAAAATATCATGGTAAGCATGGAAAAAGGGTGATACAAGTAACAGATAAACATAAAATATCATGGTAAGCATGGTAAGCATATCACCAAAAGTGTATGCACCCTATAGTGTTTCTTTCGCTTTCTCCAATCTATGCAGTCACTTTTTTTAGGGCAAGGAAACAATGCTAATCTTATTTTTTTTAGGTTACTTAAAAGGATTTGAGTTAATATCTAAGAGAAACAGGATAATCTTATCAATTAGGTATTGGAACATTGCATTTTGTGGAAATCAATTAATGGGTGTAAGAAAAAAAAAAACGAAGATGCAATTGTAGTGCTCAAATGATGGAAACAGAAAACGAAAGACATGGAAATGACATAGATTTCAGATTACAGATAAGCAAAGGTTTTGGAAGTGTTCTAATGTCTGTAAAGTTGTGTGAACCCCTTGAATAAATATTCTTTTTGCTTAATAGTTAATACAATAATAACATATATTATTGGTTAGTTTTCATTATAACCATATTTATTTATTCTTTTAATTTTATACTATAAAGTTTTCAGTCACTTTTTTTTAATCCCGAGTCATTTTAAACTCGTTTTAAGGTTTAACTATCAAACTGTCATGCACAAAACACTAAAAAAAAATCATTATCATTTAACAATTAAAATATATTGTTATTGTGTGTGTGTAAAGAAAATATACTTTTCGCAAACCAGTCATCCTTAACTCGTTTTAACTATCAAACCCTCATACATAAAACAGTTAAAATACAAAAATCAGTATACTTCAATTGTTCAATGATAATTTTTATTTTTTTAATATTAAATTTAAAAGTTATCATTAAACAATTAAAATATATTGTTATTGTATGTAAAGAAAATAGTCCGTCTAATAAAATTTGGTTTAAAATATGTTGTCATGAACTTATGGTGTCCTTAATCTAATTACTATATTGATATTTTAAGCACCACATCTTTGTTATTTTTCTTAAAGTTATATTTACAAAGTTTTGATCAGTTAAACATAAAGATGTCTAAGAAAGTATAACGATGTCCATTACCAAATTCAATCATATACATAGGTTGCAAAACATGTCCAAGTCCGTAGTTACGGATACTAAAACAAATCAAACCAATACAATAATACTTAACATAACATACAAAGAATTCATCACAGTCTCATGTTTGTTCTCAAATTACATACCAGGAACAAACAAATAAATACTTAATTACAAGAAGAACACTAAAAACTGAAATCAATCGGTACAAAAGCCGAGAACGCATCAAAGCATCCTTTATAAATAATAATCTAAACTAAACTTTTAATGATCCATCCTTTCAAACCAGGAGAAGAAAGGCAGCCACAACAATGGCCAAAGAAGAAAACAGAATCCCAACAGCGGCTTTAGGAGGCTGGCCACTTGGGGAGGCGGAAGGTGGTGACGTGGCATTTCCAGTAGGCGGGGATGGTTTTATGGCTGGAGGGATAGGAGAATCTGCCACGTCAGCCTCGGTCAAAATGGGGTTGGGAGCCTCAGCTGGCGGCATCAACTGTGGTGTCATGAATTGCAGTAGCTGTCCAGGTGAAGCAGGAGCCATGTATGCTGGCGTCTGATTTGGTGGTAGTCCTAAACACCTGTTGACTGTATTTGCCATATTATTTAAAAAAAAAAAAAAAATTAGTATATATTATTAATAACCAAATCTTCCTTATCCACGTTTGGTCATAATGGTGTATTTGATACAAATTTTAAAAGTTGAGAGACCAAATGTGGACACTGCGATGGAAGATTTCAACTTAAACCCTATTTTTTACACACTAACAGTAACAGTAATTAGTAATTATTTATAAACTTACTTCTGTATTTGGCTGCAGTAGCTGGATAATCTGTAATAACACCATCAACATTAGCTCCCACAACATACGAGTTTAGTTCAACATATGGATCCGAAAAGAAGTCCCATGGCTGTGAAATGAACTCATTGTTCATAATCTGTACATAAACCGGGAGCTTAAAAGCTTGAAGTTTTGTCACAACATCAGTTTGATCAACAAGAAATCCACTATTGCGAGGGAATACAGATTCCTTTCCAACCACTACAGAATTAGCCATTTTACTAATATCTGAGATGGTTGCATTCTGGGCATCACCAATGTTCTCATCAACCTCATAAACAAGTTCATGTCTGTTGCTTTTTGCCTTGAATAATCTCAGAACCCCACCATCTGGAGATTGGATTAATATTTTCTTGGTCCTCTGATTATTGTAAGTAGAGTTACTTAATGCACTCATGACTGCATCCACGACACTTAATCCTTGATTTGCTGCTAGGTATGGTGCATTCTGGATGTCAGTTAAACAGTAAAATTAGTGTCAGATTCAGATTTCAATTAATAGAAAAAGAAAAAGGAAATGGAGAGCATAGACATAGACTTGCCTTAATGTTGATCAAGACACCAGAAACAGAAGTAGCATTACTTGCAAAAGCCAGAAAGTCAGACAAGGTCATAAGCTTTCCATCATTTTTGGCTTTTGGATTCCGAAACAAACTGTAGTTCTTATATGTGTTGTATATTGCAGCTAGCAACATAAAAAGAGAAGAAAAAAACATGAATAGAAAGAAATTGTAAAAAAAAAAAAAAAAGTCAAAGAGAAGTGATTAGAGTAGATTGCATACGTGTCAAGCCCTGAACCTGGGTCCATGTGAGGCTAAAGGAATATATCCCAGCAGTAGGCTGAAGCTCAGGAATGACTTGTGTAAGGTTGCTAAAACCTGACTCTGCAGCTGTTGTTCTATCAAGAAGGTTTATAGAGCCTAAACAAAAAGGCACCCCATCACTTGTCATTTGAACAGGGCAATCGATTATATCAGCACCATCAGAAACAGCTTTTCTGTATGCCAAATCAGTACAACCAGGGTAGTCCCCACTTGCTCCTTCAGATGTAATGATCAAAGGTTTTGCTGACACACACAAAAAAAAAAAAAGCTAAAAAAGGTCAATCAAATGCACATTTACAGGTACTAAATTAAAGATTAAAGATACCATCCAAAAGGAGGACTGACCTTTCTTTGCTTGATTTTTTCCCAGATGAGATAGGCAATCTGCAAGGTTTGGTTTCAGATTTATTTAAATTAGAGAAAAGAGATGAATTTGTTGGAGGAGGAGGGTGTAAACTTACCAAATGCTGCAGATGGAGTAATCGGGTTGTCAGAAAGGACACCATCCACAGCAAATTTCCCATTATCGATGAAAGAGAGATACTCTGCGACAGGGTCATAACTGTAATTATAAGCAAACTGTACATCGTTCGCGAAATCAGAAGCAAAAACTTCTAGACCCTCCTTGTGGGCGTCCAACACCAGTGATGTAGATGGTTGCAAATAAAAATCTTGATCCACAGGCCATATGTATGATTTAGGAACTAAGATTCCGGAAGCAAATGTCTTGATAAACTTCAAATTGGTCAAAAGAGAAGAGTATGTTTGGTTGGTGGTTGGCTCGGTTTCGTCCTGACCTAGGAACCGGAAAACTAGTTTGGTTGTTTTGCTTGCTTTGAAGTTTGTCACCAGACTTTTTAAAAAGTTAACTTCTGGAGATGAAATGTAGTTAATAGCCACCTTTTTAGATGTAGTTATCACATAATTTCTCATACTTAAATTATGTTGGCTGTAAAATGCATCATGCTGGATGTTCAACCACAGTCCAGGTGGTTTCACTTGCCCTGAAACTTCTTCCACAGTAAGTAATTTCAATGACCCATCAAAAACTGGAGTTCGAGACAACACCCCCTGTGTTACTGTTGCAATAAAACAACAACACACAAACATAAAACGTCAGTAGCACTTATCACAGATTAATACTAAAATTTAAGTTAAACTTACAGGAGACATTTTCTAGGTCTGCAAGTGAGAAATCCATTGGAAAATATCCTGTTGTAGGGACTCCATTCACAGGGTAGCTTTTATTCCTGTTATTGAACAGAGAAGAAATTGTGGAAGCATTGCTAAGATCAAGATTTGGATAACAGATCCCAGCATTATCGCTAGTCAATTGTACATCACACCAGAGGATCATGTCAGGCACACCAGTAAGCAAAGCGAAAGTATAGGCATTGTAACTGGAGTCGGGAAATAATCCTGAAAACCCACCACGTGCAACCACTAAAGGAGGATCGCCTGCAAAAAGTTACAAAATGGAGTCTTCAGAACATGATACCCTAAAAATGTAGTAAAGTGGAGTCGGGAAATAATCCTGGAATGATACACAAAAAAGCTTCAAAGCCAAAATTTAGTAATTTAGTTAGGATATCTTATTATTTGGAGCTTCAAACGATCAATCCAACATTAACGAAATCAAAAAAATCAGATAATTTTTTTTATTAAGGTCCTTCTAAACCGGCTCGTCTTCTTAGCATAGATCTTTCTGAAAGCGACAGATCACAAGTTGACAAGTTCATTTACACAAAATCCTATGGTTTTTTCTTGCTCCTTCTGGACTTGAAGTCTAGAACTGAATAAAAAAACTAGAGGGAGGGTTTCATAATTTATGCATTCTCACTTCCACAAGCCGAAATCCTCCGAAATTGGAATAAATTTCCCACGACAGAGATCCAAGTGTGAACATCATATACAAAAAAGAGTAAAGGTAGTTGGTGTATTGATTACCTCTTAATGTTAGCCAAGGACTGGTTTTGCTACTAGATCCCTGAGCAGCGGCCAACGAAACCGAGCAGATAAACAAGCTTACTAGACACCAGAGCTTCCACATTGCCGGAAACTCAACTCGACGCCGATTACTTGATTCTTGTTCTCTAGAGCAGCAAGATGTGAGATTTTCTGTGAATATAGATTCACTGCCGATTTTGCAAATTTATTTATTTGAGGGAAGATGTACGCAATGATTTATGATATATTCGCCCCTCTCACGTTACTCGGTTCTTTCACCACCCTATTTAAGTATTTATTCATTATTCATTGTGGCTTGGCTATGGCGACCCACCTAAGCTTTAGCTATTCCCAAAATTTCGATGCTTAATCCATTATGTTGATTTTACTGATATTTATATTTAATCAAACTTGTCTTCTCTAATTATATACATTCTTCAAAATAAAAATAAGAAATTTAACTCTTTAACCTTTATTTATAATAAATGTTTTATAAAACTTTCTTATATGGATTGATATTTTTAAACTTTCATACTTTGTTGTAAAACATATAGAAATTATTATGCTAAAAAATGTAATATATTATATGCGAGTTATTTTTTTTGGTATATGATATTTATGTTATTTGTATTGTTGTGTTTTTCAATGATATATATATATATATATATATATATATATATATATATATATATATATATATATATATATATATATATATATATATATATATATATATATATATATATATATATATATATATATATATATATATATAGTAGGTGTGAGACCCATGTATTACATACGTTTAATTAAAAAAAAAAATATAAAATTTTAACAATTTGAAAAGTTTGAATTTATAATAAAAATGAAAAAAAATGAATTATTAAAATTAATGAGACTTTAATGTATTGAATACATTACATATATAAATAATTTCTAATAAATAGTTTACATATATATTACCTTACACATTAAATGTGAAATTTTAATTTAATAAAATAAAAAATACAATAAAATGATAAGTAAAAAATAGAAATTTTAAAAATTCTATAAAATATCATGTGTCCAAATAAATAAAAAGAGAACATGTAGCAAAAAAAACTTCATTTATTTATATATATATATATAGAAAGAGAGAGAGAGATTATTAGAAGGTAAAACAAAAAACCATATATCAAAGCAAAAAGAAAGGAAGTTAAAATAAAAACTACTACAATAACCATTTTTTGATTCGTTGGAGTAACCTGAATAAAAAATGCATGTTTTCAGTGATAAAAACATTTTCAAAACTTTTTAATAAGAAAAAGCTTTAAAAAATAATCAATTGAAGATGCTCCATGCCTCCATCTAAAATAAGCAGTTATACTAAATTATATTATAAATAATCAGGTCTGTATGCATTTTACTTTTTGAAGTATTTTTTATTTTATCAAATATTGATTATTAAACTAATAAACAAAACAAGAAAGGTAAAGTTAGTGAAAAATAAAGAGATGTTGACAGTGGAAAAGTGTTTTCAAGATAAAACGTCACAAAATTATGTAGTATTTTATAAAATTGAACAAATATCATTCGGTTTAAAAAAAAGCCTGATCTAATTTATTTCTAACATGCTCAACTAATGTGTTTTCAAAATCAACGTCACAAAAATAAAGATTATTATAATTACAGGGGAAACTATACTAGATATTATCGCATAAATTACAAATATATATAGTTACTCCTTTGTTCTAGTTAAATACACAGAAATTAAATATACGTGTGTAATAATGGTATAGTATATTCTAATAACATTAAAATCATCAAATATTTCGGCAATTATTTAGAAAATCGATTTTATAATAAGATATGTTGGAGAAATGGCTGAGTTCAGAAGCCGACGCGAGTCGATGGCACAGCCGAATAGATAAGCATTTGGAAGACAGCTGAACATGGGTCAGCGAACCACCTGCCACGCTGTCTACGTGGGCTTCGAATACAAGACGAGTAAATTTGGTGAGGTGTTTCATGTTTGAATGTGCTTGGAAACACAATAATTGTCCTTAAAATTTCAAATTTTGATTTATAATAATGAAAATTCAAAAGAATAACATTTTAATATGCATGTTAAAATTGAGAGATAATCACCAAAGTGTCACGTTTTTTGTGAATAAACACTAGAAAATAACTACACATCTTATAGATATCGTAAACGACAATCGAATTTGGAAAATGGTTATTTTCGAAATCATTTTTTGAGTTTCGAATATATTTTTATCATAAAAACGAAATTAATAGTATTTTATAAAATTAAGACAAAACATCATAAATGGTCTATATGGTTTCCCCAAATATGTAATATAGTCCCTAAGTTTAAAAAATCTTATAGATAATTGATATAGTTTCAAAACTTTTAACAAAGATTAATCTTATTTTAGCCCTATAAACTTTTCTTATTTGTTTTAAAAGGTCTCTCATGTTTTTTAGTAGTATAAGAGCATAAACCGATAAACTCTATATTTACCGGTTAAAAAAGATCGCTAAGAATAATATTAGCCGGTGGTCATCTATATGGATTTTTTTTATATAAAAAAATAAGAAACACTTTAATATTTAATCTTATCATTCACAATTCACCATTTGACATGTTTACAGTAGGTTTGACCTTTGTCATTTTCAAGGCCCTGTGGCTCGTGTTAACTCACCTCCTTAACTTCATCTTTTTGGTCGGTGGAAGAAATGTTTTTGTTGTGACCCACCGTACACTTTTTTGTATTAACATGGTAAGAAGAATTTGTAATCCTTCATTTATAGTCTTCTGTCTACATGTAACCGATCATATTGATCCTCATCCATGTACTTCTTTTGTATTAACATGGTAAGAAGAACTTGTAATCCTTCATTTATAGTCTTTCGTCTACATGTAACCCATCATATTGATCCTCATCCATGTATTTCTTTTGTCAACATGAACTTTATAACAACCATAAATTTTACGTCAAATTTACACTTTTTCAATCATAAATAAAAACCACATAGCATTGTTTACAAAATGTTTTCAAATCATTTTCCATCAGTGTCCCAAAAATCATAACATAAGGATGAGGAGCGATACGGTCAAGCCTTCGCCTTTCCACGATCTCCTGAAGTACCTGAAACAATAAACTGAAAACTGTTAGCCCGAGGGCTTAGTGAGCTACCCCCAAAATACCAATATCATACTAGCAATACCATAACAGTAATAATCAATCAATCAATCAACATGCATACTGGGCCATCGGCCTGATTGGACCGCCCCGCCGAGCCTACAGTCTGTCTGAATCTATCCCGAGCCTTCAGCATGACTGGTCCGCCACGTGGGCCTACAGTCTCCCCGGACCGCTCATAGGGTATATTGGCCTTCGGCACAAAGCAGGACCGCCTCAACCCAACCACAAGCAAATAACCATGTGCGCATACTATCATATATTGGCATATACAAACATCAAACTTATCTTTCTCATTGATCATCAATCATAGAAATCTCCTGTAACTAGAGTACCGACCTAGCAGGTCACTAACATATCAATCCCTATGGATCATAAGAGCATAACATACTGTCTACCCCGTTTCCGATCTAACAGATCATAATCACATGTAGCATACCATAACAATAACAACTAAAGGGCCGGCCTTGGTGTCGTAGACCCTATCGATTTAGTGAGGATAACTCACCTTGCAAATGTCGACTCGGAAGATACACTCCAACCCTCGGATTATTCGACACCGGCTCCACCACCTAAGATCACGGTACAACATACTCATAAGTCCTTAACCTTATAAGGTGCTCCATAACCCACTAGTCAACCCCCGGTAAAAGTTAAAGTCCTCAGTCAAGGTCAACAGTCCATGTTGACCTTAACTCGCCGAGTACCCTTGGGTACTCGCCGAGTTCTCTGTAGTACATTCCAACTCGCCGAGTTCCTTCGATTCTCAATCAAACTTTAAGGCCACCCATCGAGTTCCCTCCTTGCAACTCGACGGATACACACTCATACATATCCAAGAGAAAACTCATCCGACTCGCCGAGTTGTTCTTCAACTCGTCGAGTCTTATGACGATCTTCATCGGACTCGCCGAGTTGTTCATACAACTCGTCGAGTTCTCGACCAGCTTCATGTGACTCGCCAAGTCAACCTTGCGACTCGTCGAGTCCATTTAGTCCTCTTTCCATATAAACTTGTTTTGAGCCATGCAGCGGCTCCAAATCACAAATCCAAGCTTCTAGGGCATGCTTATCACTTAAAGTTGCAAACTTTAAGTCCATGCATGGCATTAAAGGCTCCAAATGTCAATTCTAAGGTCTTAATGGAACTTCATGCCCAAGAGGGACCTCAATCACCACCAAAACTGTGACCTTATGCTTCTAGAATCCAAGGAGAGTCCAGATCTGAAGTTACAACTTCAGATCTAGCCCATAAATCATCATACCAACTTGAAAATCCATAAAAGCCTTAAAAACTCAACAAAAGGGGAAAAGGAAAGTAGAAATGGCACTTTGATACCTCCAAAGGATGTTGGATGAGGTAAATCCTTCCTTGCTTCAATTTCCTTTGCACTCTTAGCTTTCTTCCTCCAAGATCCTCTTTTCCAAGCTTCAACACCACACCAAGGCACACACACACGAATTAGGGTTTTAAGTGGGCTCTCAAAGACTGTAAAGAGGCTAAGACTTCTTTAAATAAAGATGCAAACCTCGAGACTTAGGGTTTCCACTGCTAGCTCCTACTCGCTGAGTCCCAACATGGACTCGTCGAGTAGGTCACTTAAAACGCGATCCCACCCCGCTGCTACTCAACGAGTAGTTTAACCAACTCGTCGAGTAGAGCTGAACCCAAAAAAACCTTATTTAAGCAATACATGAGAATCGGGGCATTACAACTCTCCCCCACTTGATCTAGACTTTGCCCTCGAAGTCCGCTGGAATAAACAATGTCGAGTAATGCTCGTGCATCTCCGCCTCCGGCTCCCATGTCCACTTGGATCCCTTCCGATGTTCCCACTGTACCTTTACTAAAGGTATTTCCTTGCTCTGCAGAATCTTCTTCTTCCTTTACAAAATAGCCACAGGCCTCTCCACATAGTTCAGGCACTCATCGACCTTAATGTCATCTAATGATACCACTGCCTCCTGGTCCATAATGCATTTTCGCAATTGCGAAACATGAAATGTGTTGTGGATCCGGCTAAGCTCCTCCGGAAGCTCTAGCCTATAAGCCACCATGCCAACCTTGACAATAATCCTGAACGGCCCAATGTAACGGGGACCCAATTTCCCCCTCTTCCTGAAGCGGATCACACCCTTCCAGGGTGAGACCTTCAGAAGAACCATGTCACCCACCTGAAATTCCAACTCAGATCGGCGTCGGT